TCAATGAAGTAGTTGATATATTCTTGTAAACTTTCTGGAGTCAGTTTGTCCATTATTAGGCCTGAAGTTGAACAGTTGGAGAAAGAAAGAAAAATTAAACAACTCCTCTTGCATCAAAATAATATAACTGAGTCTCATTTTAATAAAATCCTAGAGCACATCCTAGAGTCACCTAGCAAGTAACAGGTACTCAATAAACGCTCTTTGAGTAAATGGGTGAAAATCTAAATTTGTGAAAAAGATCAATAAAAATGTGATCATTTACACTCCCCAAAGATTTATCTGTTCATTTGGTTTAGAGTGCTGACCTTAAAAATGAATCTTTTCACTAGTATTAGGGAATAAGAATGTGAGCTTTTTCTTTTAAAGTTGCTTAGTTCTTTTACCATCTACAGGGTTATACTTATCACCTCAGCAGCTTATCACTTTACTTATTGTGTATATGAAGAGAGGGCTTCTAGTTCCTGAACTTTCATAAGTACCGATATGTAATTAAAAAAATAAAAATCTGCTGGACCACCATGATACATAGATTTAAAATGTGCTTTAATGTATGATGACTTAACATACGTAGCTTTCCCTCCAACATCTGTATTCTGATTTGTAGTCTAATAAACCTTCCTGCTGCAGATGGCATGTGCATAGTTGTTCTGAGGTGTAATACATCAACATAGCATTTCTAAACAGAGAGCAATAATGTATTCAATTAAGGGAGGAAATAAAACATCAAGCCTTTTCTTATAATAAATCTTTTACTAAGCTTCCTACATCACATGTTTACTGAGGAAATAATACATGTCATTCAGATTAAGGGTTACTGTAGACTGCTGAGGGAAACATGAAATTCTGGAGGTTTCAGCAGTCCTGTGAAACCCTTAAACATGGAATGTGTACAAATTAGAAAAGGATGTAATATGGGACTAATGATACCTCTTGGGATGCTTTTGGAAGCCATATTTACTGTTATGATCACTAGATTCATTTAAGCTACAGGAGTTGAAAAGCAATACCCTAGTAAGTGAAAAACACCTCTGAGTTCATTAGATGTGGTTGTAATTTAAGCTCTAAAGGCTTTTTTCCTTGCTGTCATTCTTTATATTTCTGGAAATGTGGTTCTTGAGCTCCTAATAAAAGTAGTCTACACCATGATCATATAATCTACAGTTCCTGGAAAGCATATTTACACCTCCACATCTGTAGCTAAAGCTGGGACTGAATAGAAACTTAATTCACCCCAGATGTCACCCACTAGAAAGTTCTCCAGTAGGGCTGCTATTCTTAGAATTTTCTAGCCACTGATTATGTCTCAAGCAATGGTATAAATATTCAACCCAGAGCCTTCAAGCCCAAATGTTGTAAACTGTTTGCATATACCATGCCAAGTGCAAAATTAATTGAATCCCACAAAGTTAATCCCCAATCCTGTTCCTTCATTTGTGGAAGGAAATAATGGCTATTTTGACAACTACTCATAAGAATTACTACTTATTAAGAATATCCTCAGGATTTATTAAGGGAGCAATATAAAAATGGCCATGTGAAAATAGTTTTGCACATTTGCAAAATTCCTGTTAAAGACATTGTTCATTGTGTATTTAATAATAAATTTGAGGCTGGGTGTGGTGGCTCATGCCTGTAATCCCAGCACTTTGGGAGGCTGAGGCAGGTGGATCACGAGGCCAGGAGTTCAAGACCAGCCTGGCCAAGATGGTGAAACCCTATCTCTACTAAAAATACAAACATTAGCTGGGCATGGTGGCAGGTGCAGTACCTGTAATCCCAGCTACTCCAGAGGCTGAGTCAGGAGAATCACTTGAACCTGGTGCAGAGGTTGCAGTGAGCAGAGATTACACCACTGCACTCCAGCCTGGGCAACACAACAAGACTCCATCTCAAAATAATAATAGTAATAATAATAATAAATCTGAGATTCATCCACCTGACAAATTCTTTTCAAAATGTGTCTCCTGAAAACCTGATGTGTATTTCTCTGTTAAACATAGAGATCTATGAAACCCATTGAATTCTCCCTTTTGTATTGATTACAAAGTTAGAGCTAAACTTAATGCTTAATGGCACTAATACTCTTATTCTAGTTTCCTGATATACATTTTCTTTCTCCTTCCTCTGTGGTGGTCTGTGGAATGGTATTTGTGGTCTCTGAATGCCTGAGTTTGTGTGCAAAAGTGTGTGTTATGTGTTCTGTTTGTGTGTGTATACCTAACTTGCATTTTCTGTGGAGAGAGCACAAAGTTTTCATTAGATTCTCAAAGGGATGCATTACCTCCCCCAATTTAAGGACTTTAATACTCTGGTGTTTTATATCTCTGACCTCACCTTTAACTGTTCTGTCTGTATAATAATTATGTTTGCCGGGCGCGGTGGCTCAAGCCTGTAATCCCAGCACTTTGGGAGGCTGAGGCGGGTGGATCACGAGGTCAAGAGATCGAGACCATCCTGGTCGGCATGGTGCAATCCCGTCTCTACTAAAAATACAAAAAATTAGCTGGGCATGGTGGCATGTGCCTGTAATCCCAGCTACTCAGGAGGCTGAGGCGGGAGAATTGCCTGAGCCCAGGAGGCGGAGGTTGCGGTGAGCCGAGATCGCGCCATTGCACTTCAGCCTGGGTAACAAGAGCGAAACTCCGTCTCAAAAAAATAAATAAATAAATAAATAAATAAACAATCTAAATCCTTTTTTATAGGGGGAGATGGAAGGAAAAGCTAGATGGCAGTAAAAATTATACAAATACAAATACAACAGCATGTTTTATTGTCAAGTACTCAGTCTGTTAGTGTGTATGATTTTGGGGGGGCTTTCTCCCCCCTAGAAGTAATGGATTACATCTGTATGGCATACATCTCTATGAAAATGTAATCTGGTGTCTTTTATTTTTATTTTTTTTTTCCAATCTTAAGAAAAAACAAACTATCTAGACAGGTCTATCTAAAAGGTCTCCTATATGAAGCATCTCCTGAATACTATAGGGAGATTATATACATAGAAAACGTCTTTACCATGTGACATTGATATACATATTGACTTTGGCACTGAAAAACTGCACTGTGTTGTGTGTGTGAGTATATATGTGTGTGTGTGTGTGTATATATATGTATGTGTGTGTATATATATGTATGTATGCATGTATTTTTTTTTTCGGCCAAGGCTGGACTGCAGTAATGCTACTTCTGCTCACTGCAACCTCCGCCTCCTGGGTTCAAGTGATTCTCCCACCTCAGCCTCTCAGGTTGCTGGGATTATAGGCACCCACCACCACTCCCAGCTAATTTTTGTATTTTTAGTAAAGGCAGGGTTTCGTCATGTTGTCCAAGCTGATCTCGAACTCTAGACTTCAGGCGATCCACCTGCCTCGGCCTCCCAAAGTGCTGGGATTACAAGTGTGAGCCTCTATGCCTGGCCTGTGTTGTACATATTAATGTGAGATTTTATTTTATTTTATTTTTTTAAATTTTTTGCAAGGCTGATTGAGCATTTGGCTCAATTAAAGTAATTCATCATTTTAAATTTTTTTATTTTTAATTGTGGGTACATATTGTGAGTGTATATATTTATCAACAGGTGAAAGAAGAAAAATCATATGATCGTATTAACATATGCAGAAGGCAGATTTGACAAAATTCCACAGATATTGATGATTAAAAACTCTTAGCAATAGAGAGTAATTACTTCATCTTGTTAAAGAACATTATAAAAATCTTATTGTTAACATCATATTAAATAGTGAAAGACTAAATGCTTTCCCCCTAATATTGGGAAAGATGTGTGCTCTTACCACTTTTTCTTTTTTTTTTTTTTGTCAATTATACTTTAAGTTCTGGGGTTCATGTGCAGATCTTGCAGGATCGTTACATAGGTATACACATGCCATGGTGGTTTGCTGCCTCCATCCCCCCATCACCTACATTAGGTATTTCTCCTCATGTTATTCCGCCCCATCTCCCCACCCCCTCCTATCCCTCCCCTAGTCCCCCACCCCCTAACAGACCCCAGTGTGTGATGTTCCCCTCCCTGTGTCCATGTGTTCTCATTGTTCAACACCCACTTATGAGTGAGAACATGCGATGTTTGGTTTTCTGTTCTTGCGTCAGTTTGCTGAAAGTGATGGTTTCCAACTTCATCCATGTCCCTGCAAAGGACATGAACTTATCCTTTTTTATGGCTGCATAGTATTCCATGGTGTATATGTGCCACATTTTCTTTATCCAGTCTATCATTGATGGGCATTTGGGTTGGTTCCAAGTCTTTGCTATTGTAAACAGTGCTACAATGAACATACATGTGCATATGTCTTTATAACAGAATGATTTATAATCCTTTGGGTATATACCCAGTGATGGAATTGCTGGGTCAAATGATATTCCTATTTCTAGATCCTTGAGAAATCACCACACTGTCTTCCACAATGGTTGAACTAATTTACACTCTCACCAACAGTGTAAAAGTATTCCTGTTTCTTCACATCCTCTCCAGCATCTGTTGTCTCCAGATTTTTTAATGATCGCCATTCTAACTGGCATGAGATGGTATCTCAATGTGGTTTTGATTTGCATTTCTCTAATGACCAGTGATGATGAGCTTTTTTTCATATGTTTATTGGCTGCATACATGTCTTCTTTTGAAAAGTGTCTGCTCATATTCTTTGCCCACTTTTTGATGGGGTTGATTTTTTCCTTGTAAATTTGTTTTAGTTCTTTGTACATTCTGGATATTAGCCCTTTGTCAGATGGGTAGCTTGCAATTTATTTTTTCCCATTCTGTTGGTTGCCAGTTCACTCTAATGATTGTTTCTTTTGCTGTGCAGAAGCTCTTAAGTTTAATTAGATCCCATTTGTCTATTTTGGCTTTTGTTGCCATTGCTTTTGGTGTTTTAGTTATGAAGTCCTTGCCTATGTGTATGTCCTGAATAGTATTGCCTAGGTTTTCTTCTAGGGTTTTTATGGTGTTAGTTCTTATGTTTAAATCTTTAATCCATCTGGAGAAAAATATGGAATGCTTCACAAATTTGTGTGTCATCCTTGTGCAGGGGCCATGCTAATCTTCTCTGTATTGTACCAGTTTTAGTATATGTGCTGCCGAAGCGAGCACTAATGTGAGATTTTAAAGACAACCTCATGACTTGGCTTGCTAATTTGGAAACTAGATAAGTCCAATAAAATGTAAACTTGTTCAGAGAAAAAGCCTTGATGAGAAAGGATCTTAGGAGATCAAATAGTAACACCAAACCATTGGAGGAGCAGATATATTTCCCCCTCGTATAAAATATCTTCCATCCTGATTTTTCAAAATAATTTTTAATGAACATATTGTGAATTTACACAGGAGACCAACCCTGCTGCTTTGGGAGCAAAAAGACAGAGCTGACAGATGTAGTTATTTGCCAGGAACAACCATGTGAATTTATAAATATTTTACAAGTGCAGCTTTCAGAAGAGTGACTTTTACTGCCATATTAATGCAACTTGCAAATTTATAGCTTGGGCATTTGTGGGTTATGAATGTCCAGTATATGAGGCTAGTGCCAAGAATATGGTTTATGTTTTGAAATTCTTTTTTTCTCTGATCACAGACTTCTTGGCTGTTATGATCTGCTTTATAATTCAGCTGCACATGAGGTGCAAGGCTACATAATACATCAGTTTCCACTCCCAATGGCTAGCCTCATAAATATACTCTTTACAACACAGTTCATGTGACAGAATGACACACAAAACATAAAAATATCTCTAAAGAGTAGAGAATTAGTGGTAGTAGAAGCAACAGTAGCATGATTCCATGCCTCCAGCCAGATCCATAATATGTGACCTAAAATTATAATTATATGTCATAATATAAGAAAACTGGAATCATAAGTTTTCAGAAATAATGTCTTTGTATATATTAGATCAAAACACTCATGAGTGTTGTCATATGTGTTGAAGGCTACACTACTGAAAAGATTTTAGTTACTCTAATCTTTGGCAGGGAGATTTTGGAGGAAGAAACACCACTGCAACTCTTTCCTTGTAAGTTTCTAAGTTGGTTTTCCATTGATTGTGCCCAAAGTAAATGAACCTTTCTAGAGTTCTGGGCTCCAGTGAAAGAGGAGCAGATTTATCTGGGCTTGAGCAAAAAACAGCCTGGGGTGAGATCTTAAAGTGACCAGACTTTGGTCAGAGAGTTCTCCTTTTTCAAGATGTTATTATGACATAGGCAGAATTGTTGGCTGTTGAAGAAGGTCAGCACTGTTGCCCAACCTTTCTGCCTTCCGCTAAGTAGCTCTGTTACCTTGTACACGTCACTTCTCAGGTTTATAGTTCCTCTTCTCTGAAATGTTGAAGTTGTGCCATATGATTACAAAATTCTTTCTGGCTATGATGTTTTTTTTCCTAATGCATGTGTGCCAACATAGGTAGATATTGATTAACAACATATTAAAATCTGCAATATTAGTTGTTTTATCAGTGTGCACGCTTTTCATTTTGTAAAACATGCCAATGACAAAATGCTTCACTGTTTTACTCCCTAGTGTCCACCATTTCTTTCTCTATATTAAGACTGTAAATTACTCCTAAAAGAAGTAATTGGGACCGGGTACAGTGGCTCATGCCTGTAATCCCTGCAGTTTGGGAGGCCAAGCCAGGAGGATGGCTTCGGCTCAGGAGTTTGAGACTAGCCTGGGCAACATGGCAAAACCCCATCTCTACAAAAAATACAAAAGTTAGTCAGGCATGATAATGCATGCCTGCTGTCCCAGGTACTTGAGAGGCTGAGGTGAGTGGATTGCTTGAGCCCAGGAGGTCAAGGCTGCAGTGAGCTGTGATGGAGCCACTGTACTCTAGCCTGGGTGACCGAACAAGACCCTGTCTAAAAAAAATAGAAAAGAAAAAGAAAAGAAAAAAGCTTATTCGGAATATTACCTTAAATAATGGGGAATCTTGTGTTCTTACAAAAATTTGTGATTAGTTCAGTGAGTAAAATTTTTCCAAATTGCCAAAGCTAAATAAATAAATAATACCTCTTTATTCCAAGGCTTAATCCTACTGAGGCTCCCAGACTGATTAATCATGCAGCAGACAGCAAACTGCTCCTTCTTCTTCTTCTTCTTCTTTTTTTTTTTTTTTTT